GATTTAAGATTTTTTTTTTTTTTTTTTTTTGGAGTAGTTAAGTACTTTAATGGTTTCCTGCACTACTAGTAATTACAACAACTATCACATATATCGCCCAACCTACTTTACATTGGTTTCCATTACTAACGTTAGCATTTCTCTCATGTATAACTTAACTAATTTCATGTAAGGTTTTACGCTTTTGCGAGGGGTATTTTTTCGTAGCTAATGACTAAAGTTTTCAGTTCTATACTTAAATAAACTTTATTAACAAAGACTGAATGGTAAATAGCTTGGTTCTGCATCTTACTAGTGTATATGAAGTATTTCATAAATAGGATCACGTAATTAAATTTCTCTAATATCTCTCTCTCGCTTAGGCCAGATATGATACCAAATAGTTTCTCTTCAATTGTTGGAGCCAATTTGGAGTTGTTGGCAGCGTTAAACCAGTCAATTACGTTGCTAACGAAAATCTTTACAAATCGACAGTTAAGAAAAGTATGATCAATCGAATCTTTCTCACCACAGTAGAGACAATCATCGTCCGCTTTAACAACATATCGATGAAGTTCTTTTTTAGTAACTACAATCCTATGAATTAATTTACACTGGAATTCTTTCAATTTGGTCTCCTCGCAGATGCTCTTTAACGAGGTGAAAATTTTTTTCGAAGCATTCTCATCTAGTCTTATTTTGCTGTTCCGGTTCATTGGGCCAGTCTGGCTGACAGCGTAAATTTTTCCGGTTTAGTAAACCATAGAAGTCCCTAGTTTTAGCATTATCCAGTTGTATTTGTGTAGGGTCGTCTAACTGAAAAAGAAAGTTTTTTCTTGTATATAGTTTGTTTTCCAGTGGCTCTGTATTTCTTGCTTTGATTACTAAATAGTTCAGGAAACAGCTTAAGGGGACAGCACACTTCTATTTAATCTTAATTACCTGGCAGCTTTCTTCCAAGTTCCGCAAATATTTTACAGCATTTCCTTCATCTTGTAGCTGTTGTACATTCCAATCAGAAAATTTAAGAGGGATGAAAGGGGCGAATATTTCTTTTTCCAGTTTGACGCCATACTAAATGTCCAACAGTGAAACCAAACAACAATGGTGATATCATCGATAGCCGCGATGGTGACCCCTACCAGCCGCCCCAGCGTAACGATTTACACACAACAAATTGTGCCCGTGATGCCTCCCCCAGGGAGAATTTGTCGTTACTTCGCTTTTTACCATCGTTCAAATTTCCCGCTCGAGAAATTTTGAAAGTCCCTGAAGTATTTTTAAGCTGCTGCCGCCATTGTTACAAAATGGCCATATTAGGTTAATTTTGGACTGTATAACAAAGCCTTTTGTTAGCAAAATGGACCCGCTTTTCTTGATACGTTTGGGATTGCGCTGGTAACTTGGTAAAATTGGAGAAAATTCGTATTGCAGTCATACTTGTTATTAAATTCTTGGAAGGACAGTAGTTGACCATACTGTTCAGCAGGTCTCGGATAGACAAAATATTACTGTCAAACCATTCTTTAATGAAAACTGGTTTTCCTCCGACGATAATTTGTTTGTTATTAAATAGGACAATATCTTGCAGTCCGTCGTAGCTGTAGAGATTTTTTAATTCGTTGAAAAAAGCAAGAATATCTTTTTAAAACAAGGGCAGACCGTCTATGTATTTTACGTCATAATTACATCTTAATAGAAATTTCAAACCTCCAGTTTTTCTTAGGTAATAATCTGGAATCTTTTTCCGATTTCTTATTTCTGGGGTCAAAAGTCTTGGGATCCAAGCTGGCCTCAGAGCTTTAATCATAGTTTCTACGTCCGTCATACGTATGCCACCTTTTTCTCGATCTTGATCTCCCTGATGAAGCCCGACTCTTTTGATTTTGTCTCTTTTGTTTTTCCATAGGAAGTTCAACAGTTTTGTCGTAATTATCGGAGTTATTTCTTGAGGAACAGTGAGGTTTGAAGCTGAATAAACGAGTTGTGATCGACCCGAGGATTTTATTATAAGTACTCTCCCAAATAATGTAAGATCACGCGCTTTCCACATGTTGAGATTGGTTTGCAATTTCCGCAGTTTAAGGTTGAAATTTATTTGCTTATTTCCATTTTCATTGTATGAGACATAAATACCTAAGATTTTAACCGGACTATGCAACCATTTCAGTTGTAAAGGGTTGCTTTTGTTTCTTTCCCATCTTCCCAGCGAAATCGCTTTTGTTTTTTTGCGGTTCAGTTTTAAGCCTGCCAGAATACCAAAATTTTTGACTACCTCCAAGGCTTTTTCGACAGAAGCCAAGTCAGCACAGGAGAAGTTTGTGTCGTGTACGTACTGACTTAACTTCAATTCGTTCCCTAATATTTCGATTCCTTTGATGCTGGGTTCTTGTCGAAGTTTGTCAGCCATTATCTTTGCTGAAAGAATGAACAGATACGGTGATAGAGGACATCCCTGACGGACACCTCTAGACGGTCTGAACCATTTTGTTAGAAAACCATTATTTAATGAAGCGCTCTCAATATTCTTGCAAAACGTGGAAACCCGTTTTTTAATACTAGTCCCAAAATTGAAGGCGTCTAATGTTCTCATCATAAAAGGCCATTCTAGGGAGTCAAATGCTTTCCGGAAGTCCAGGGATACCAAAATACCCGGGATTTTATGCGCCTTAGTATATTCTATGGCATCGATTATAAGTCGGATATTTTCACCTATATAACGTCCTTTAATGAAGCCCGTTTTGTCATGATTAATTAACTTTGGCAGCGATGCATCTTTTTGCCATTGCTTTGGTTGCGATCTTGCAGTCAACGTTAAGAGGCGTAATTGGTCACCAGTTCGATAAGTCCAACAAAGAGCCGTTCTCTTTTGGAATCAGAGTAATGATTCCCCTTCTTTGAGAGATGGTAAGCTCGTTTGCCTCGTAAGTCTTGTTGAAAACTTGAAATAAGATGATGTCCGAGAAGTTCGAAAAAAAAATTGTAAAACTCTATTGTGAAACCATCCTCACCCGGAGACTTATCATTTTGAAAGGTCTCTAAAACCTTTTTACATTCTTCGTACGTTAAAAGACCTTCCATATTATCTCGCTCTTCATCAGAAAGCCTGGGGAGAGACAAATTCTGAATATATTCAACGTAATTATCCTGTGTTGTGCTGTCTGCTGACATATAAAGGTTTTGTTAAAGTAATTCTCGATAGCGTCTAAGCCGATCAGCGTCTCGTTTTTAGCAATTGTTTCATCCTCCATTCGGAGCTCCGTTATAATTTTTTTCATGTAATTTCTTTTCTCAAGGTTAAAGAAATATTTTGTGGGACGTTCGCCCGTTTCAATCCATCTACATTTTGATCTAAAAATTGCTGCCAATCCCTTCTTGTCATATAGTGATTGAATTTCTGTTTTGACTTTATTAAATTCTTTTAAGACCAGATCGATTTCATAGGAGTGAAAGTTGTTACAACTGATGTCGTCTAACACATTTAGTTGGCGCCAAATTTCCATCTCCCTACAATATATTGATTTGGCCTTATTTTTACTAAAAGAAATGGTTCCTGCTCTAATTTTCATCTTAAGCATTTCCTAAAAGAACCCTTTGTTGTCTGAATCAGAGTAATGATGCAAGTTTTGACGTATGTTTCGCGGATTTTGTTGACGTATTCTTCATCATTCAAAAGAGAGTTGTTAAACTTCCAGAGTCCGGGTCCCCTGGGTGTTAGGTTAGACCACGACAATGAAAAGTAAATTGCTTTGTGCGGATGCTATTGAGGAATAAATTTCACTTTTCTTTACTTATTGTTCTAGATGTTTAGCAACAAAAAAAAAATCAATTCTTGATTTCATTTTTAGAGTTTTTGATTCGTAGGAGTATTTGCGTCGCTTTGGGTGTTGTACTCTTTGAATATCTATAAGGTCAAAAATATCCAGCAGAATTTAGATTTTTGATCTTTAAGATACGAAAAAATGCTCCTCCTTTTACTCTGTTCTCTATAATTCCCCTAACATTACGCGATATTATATCATAAGTTAATGAGAATCCTCTCTTCTAACTTCAAACTGATTCCTGTCCCCAAATGCAGATAACATAATATCTCAATTAACGACTACCTTAAATATTTACCAGGTCGTTTTTTCATACACTCTGAGTGGTCGGCCCTCCGGAGAAGTTTTAATGAAAACTTTCTCGTCTATCGACCACGCACTAACGAGAAGACCCTCTTTGCGTTTTTGGTTGGTTTGCTTTAGGAGCTCCCGTCTGTAGGAAGTGAGGTTTTCGTTGAGATAAATTATTTCTGCTGCCATTTGCGTTTGAGAAGGGAAATAATTCCGATATATTATACCCGGACATTGATAATTTGTTGTTCTTCCTCCACTGAGCCGCGCTCGCCTGTCTTGTGCTTTCATTTAAGTTTTACTCTGCCGGTCATATAGCGTTTTCAATTCAAGGCTGTCGAATTACTTACAATTTTCTCAATTTGGGGAAGGAACAACTTCCTTTCATAATGTGCTTGTGCACGCTAACCCCGCGCATGCCCTCCCGCTATAATAATAATAATAATAATAATAATAATAATAATAATAATAATAATAATAATAATAATAATAANAAAAGGACAAAAAAAACTAATAATAATAATAATAATAATAAACTAATAATAATAAAAAAAATAATAAAAAACTAATAATAATAATTATAATAATAAATTAACAAAAACAATTAAAATACTACTAACTAAGGTTAAAATGGTTCAGGAGGCATACTTGGAAGAGCAAATGCTTTCACAGAAAGAAACTCAAAGTGTAGTCAACAAACTTCCAGTCTGCTCTTGATCCACCAAAATAAATGAAATTTAATACAAAAAATTGCCTCAAAAAATACCATCTGATGTTTGTTGGGTTTCTTGGCAACAGATAAACGATAAATAGGATAGATGGACACTGGCTGTTGCGTTCCAGTGCTGAATTATAGTAATTCCCGCGACAGTTTTGAGTTCATATGTTCAAAAGTTCAGCAATAAACTGTCTCCCCTCAGTTCTCCTTAAAAGTCACTAAACACTTGCCAGATAACTTTCGGGTAAATAAACAAAATTAAGTTAATAACTTATCAGCAATGGATTTTTTAAATAATTCACCGTAAAAAATACGGGTAAAAACGAACGACATTTCGGCCGCCCTGAAACCAATGTTCGCGTTGTTCTCCCATTCAAAGATCAGGCCTCAGCTCATACTCTACGCGGTCAACCTAAAACTCATACTCTTGAGAGAGGTAGGACCAGCTGAGAGAAAGCNGAGTTCATATGTTCAAAAGTTCAGCCATAAACTGTCTCCCCTCAGTTCTCCTTAAAAGTCACTAAACACTCGCCAGATAACTTTTGGGTAAATAAACAAAATTAAGTTAATAACTTATCAGCAATGGATTTTTTAAACAACTCACCGTAAAAAATACGGGTAAAAACGAACGACATTTCGACCGCCCTGAAACCAATGTTCGCGTTGTTCTCCCATTCAAAGATCAGGCCTCAGCTCATACTCTACGCGGTCAACCTAAAAATAATACTCTTGAGAGAGGTAGGACCAGCTGAAAGAAAGCCGAAATGCATGATCAAGCATAATTTTTAGCAGGCCACAATTATATCGGTAATCGACATGACTCTTGTAGTACAACATGAGGCCAGTGTTTCTGGGTTTCACATTAACGTTTGTCTCAATGTACGTAGCAGCATACCATGGATCTCCATCTCCATGGTAAACCTGACCGACGAATGACAGTGGTTAAGAGTCTCAAGGAAAACACTTGCTGATGTGTTGTCGGGCATAATGCTAATCGTATCGTCCACATATCTCCTGTAATATATGGGTCATCATTTGGACCGAGATAGACCCGAGGCGCATAAATACGCAAAAAAAGAGCAAGGCCAATATCTATCTATCTTGACCGAACAAGCTTGGTTTAAACAATAAAGGATTTATTATATGGAAAGAGAACACTATTTTCCTGCAGGACACAGTGGGTAGTCCCAAGCTAAAACGATAGAGCCATCTTGCCCGCGCGGGTAGCCAATCACAGCGCAGGATTCGGTTGACGGAGCTAGCCATATAATAAGTGGGCATCTTGCCTTCGCGTTCCAGGGTTCCTTTTTTTTTTTNGCTAATCGTATCGTCCACATATCTCCTGTAATATATGGGTCATCATTTGGACCGAGATAGACCCGAGGCGCATAAATACGCAAAAAAAGAACAAGGCCAATATCTATCTATCTTGACCGAACAAGCTTGGCTTAAACAATAAAGGATTTATTCTATGGAAAGAGAACACTATTTTCCTGCAGGACACAGCGGGTAGTCCCAAGCTAAAAAGATAGAGCCATCTTGCCCGCGCGGGTAGCCAATCACAGCGCAGGAATCGGTTCACCGAGCTAGCCATATAATAAGTGGGCATCTTGCCTTCGCGTTCCAGGGTTTTTTTTTTTTTCAACGCCGCACGTGAAAACATTAGTTAGCTGGGGACCGAGCGTGGAGCCCATGGGGACGCCATCGGTCTGTTGGCCATTAAACAGGAAAAGTTGATCAACTTTACCTCTTCAATGACCAACTAAACGAACTTTATATGAAACTTTAAGGTAAAAAGCTGTTTTCGAAGCTGTTTTCGTTTTCGATCTGTTTGATCATCATCAGAGTGAAATAATATGCATACGCTCAGTGTTCTTATAGTTCAGGTAATGCCAGTTATGTAATACCCGTTCCCATGGGGAACAAGGTGAGGTCCAGTGATTGCACTTGTTTGTTTAGTTCTGGACGGAAGCGTGCGATGTAGAACGCTTCTTTTATTCTCCTTTTTAACCATGAATTGGCAGTGGTTAAAACGTCCCACGAGAACTTGTGGTTAGGGTGTTTTCTGATGTGCTTGGCTGGCTCCGACTGCTTATTATCATGTGAATGTTCATTAACACGAACCTCGGGGTTGCGTGCTGTTTCCCCAATGCATGTTTGTCCACAAGTACACTTGCCTTTGTAAATGACGTGTGACGGTGTGTGTTTTTGTCGAACTTTATCAGTAAGGTTTTTTTAAAACAATTCACGATAAAGATTACGAGTAAAAACGAAAGTCGTTTCGACCGCTCTGCGCTCATTATCAAGTTAAATGTTGAGGGTAAAATTTACATATAGGTATATCTATATGTTAACAGATATCATCCTCTCTCCATAATAGATAATCTCTGCGAATAGATATCATCCAATCTCCATAATAGATATTCTCTGTTAATAGATATTCATCCTCTTTCCATCTAGCTATCTATATAGATGTAAGGAGGATGCAGGAACAGCGGTCGAAACGTAGTTCTTTTTATCCGTAATTTTTACCGAAACTCATACTTGATTCTTTAATTAGAATACACTACTACCCGCACACGAAGTCTGTTGTAGCTGTACTTACGACAAAATCGAGTTCCAAACATGAACTGAAAATATTCTCGTGAATATTCTTAGACTATAGCGTATGACATTTCTGTTTTCGAATGTATTTGGTGTCTGGGTGGTGTTAAAGTAATTTTGGAGCCAGCCTGCAGGGGCCTGACATCATGCACCTAAAAGTTTACCAGCTTTTCCTTTAAGCAATTCTATCTTTATAGAACTTACCGACGGAAAGGCAAAGAAGAAAGGCGAGTACACAAAGTGATTTCATCGCAACGGAGTTGAAAGGCGTAACTATTCCCAGAAGGCGGAATTTTTATGTCCCGGTAGACTTTAACGCTTGGTTTGACGACAAAAGGATTTATGTGTATTTATTACTGGCTGTCATTTATAACGAACCAATGAAAATTAAACGTTTTAACACTGTCACCAGGAGGGAGGGGGTAACTCCATTGTTTTCCGGTATTGATTCTTGACCGACCCATCGCTACCAGTGTGACGTCACATAGCAATGAGTGAGCGCTTCGAGTAGCTTAGCTATTACGCTATTGAAGAAGGACAACAGAGGTTAAGAAAGACAGAAAAACAGGCCTAATGTCGCGTTTGTTCGCTAACTAACTGTAGGTGTGTACTGTTTGTTGCTGCTTTTTGTCTGTGTACACTATTTGTTTTAGTTTTGTGAGCGCGTTATCGAGTATCCTTGTTGAATTTTGTTGCGGTAAGTGGCGGGACCACCATCTTGAAAACGGGATGAGAGTAGTCAACGTAAAACGTTCGCGTTTTCTCTCTTAAAAGACATACCAATAGTCTTGTTAATAAGAGGTTTTATACGTTGATAGTGTACGTTTAATCCTCGTGTATCTCTGTGTCGATTGAACCAGCCGTTCCTCTAATCAAGCCGTTTGAGTGTTGAGATGTCATTTATTTCTTGGTTTCCACCAAAATTTTGCTGC